CTATTTTCGGTTGCAATGGCCTCCTTCAGCCCTCTGCCAGTGAAAATGGAGCTCAGGTGGGCCTCCCCAAGCTTCATTTTCACTGGCAAGAGGGCTGCAGGAAGCCGTTGTGGCTGAAAATGGAGCCTGCTGGGGCTGTGCACTGCCCTCCCAAGCTCCATTTTTGGTAGCATAGGCACTGCAGGCTGGTCCTTTGCTATTTCCAGAGTGGCCCCATGTGGCCAGATCTTAGCAACCCACAGTCCGGATTCAGCCTGCGGGCCTCGAGTTTGACACCCCTGGCTTATGGGATGGGAGGGTCTCCATTACATACTGACAGGAACATGAGTAAATTACCATATACTGTATCTTGGTAAAGTAATAATTGCTAATATCAATCTGTGGTACTTCATGATGCTCACTAGCATCTATTTAGATTTTAAAATGCTTTTATAGTTAAGGGAATTGTATAGGTTCGTACAGCTATCAAAACATTCAGCATTTATCAAATCACAATGTATTGTATCACACAACATTGTGTGAGTGCCAAAAACAGGATTCTAAAAAACAGAAGTGATGCAGAAAAGTTGTTAAAAGTATTCAACCTTTAAAAATTTGTTAAAAGTATTCAATCTTTAAAAATTTAAAAAGTTGTTAAAAGTATTCAATCTTTAGAACTTGATCTGGTACCAAACATCTATGTTTTGGTACCTCTGAATCCTTTTGAAGATGTATAATGAAAACATTGAGAGCCAGTTTTATGTAGTGCTTAAGGTGTCATCAACTTAGAAACTGGGAGACCATGAATTCTAATCCTACCTTGAGCACAAAGCCAGCTAAGTTAGTTTTGGGCCAACCAGTTTTTTTCAGCCCTAGAAGGAGGCAATGGCAAACCACATCTGAAGAACCTTGACAAGAAAACTGCAGGAATTTATACATGCAGTCTGAGAGAACTGGACACAATTGAACAGAAGAAAAGAAAAATGAAGACCAAACCAATCTCTGAGGCAAGGGTTAATTCACTAGACACTCTATTATCAAAGGAGCAAATAAACTGTTCCAATTGTTACTTATAATACTGGAAATCCAGAATCATTTAACTATCTTATATCCCAGTTAATAGCCACATGTATGTTTAAGATACTCAAATATTGCTTAACTGTGATAGATTGTTTTTGAAAAAATAATTTAGGAAAATATCCTTTTTATTGATAGATAAGCCTTATAACCAGTTGCTTCAAATAGTTCATGAATTAGCCAGATATTTTAAAATAAATACATTCTAGCAGATGTACAAACCCCAGTTGAATTTATTCAAAAATTTGATACATTGATTTAAAAAATGCTCAGTGAGTTTTACCTTGTTCCTTTAAAGAGCCATTAAAACTTTCAAATCCTGTATCTTGGTCAGCGCAGAACCCAAATGCAATAACTGTTATTGGCTCCATTATTGAACTTTACTGGTAAAGGAGAGTTAAGCTCTTACCATTGATCACAAGTTGCCCCTAATTGTTGATAAGGTTTTGCTGTTTCCTTCAAGTTTAAAGCATTATTCTAATCTAAACCTTGTATTGGCAGACAGACTTTTAAGGGACTTAAAAAATGTTACCCCACATTGTTTTCCTCAGTTATCTCTAATTTCCTCATTCTCTCTTCATAGGGTGCTTTTTATGTATGCTTGCTTCAAATTTCCTTAAGAGTTAATTTAAAATAGAGATCATCACACAATTTGCTTGAAGCACAACTGTTTGTTATAGTACCTGAGGCAGCAGAAGCAAATCTAAAAGTAGGTAAGAATACAACCCTTCTCTACAGAGTTACAGGTAGTCCTTATTTAGCAACAGTTGGTACCAGGAACTGGACTGTTAAGCAAAGTGGTCTATTAAATGAAAATAAGTGTCGCGACTACGCAACACACGTGTTTGCATCGAAGCCACAGTGACCTGAAGGATGGCATTCCTCTTTATCAGAATAAACCCTGTATCATAATTATATGCGCGGTCTATGTAAAATGCTGTGAGGTGAAACACTATGCATTAACCACGATTCATGTGATTGAGTTCATACGAATAATTATCATTCAAAATGGTAATCATGGGTAATAAGGGTAATCAGGGGTAATGAAGGGTAATGAGGGGAAATCATTATAAATATTGAGTCCCAGGAAACTCGGGTTAGATCCAACTTTATTTTGTTTGCTTAGCTATATCTCGGATTCCTTGCGGAGGAAGGAATAAACAATAAGCTTTTGTGTTACGAAATACTGAAGCGAAGAGTGTCTTATTTTCTCCCTACATTTGTGCCGAAGAGTAGCTGAGAATAAGACTGTTCTTATCTTCAGCTTTCTTTTGCTTTACAGACTTGCAGAATTCCTAAATGTGAGGATTAGTGGTAAAATTTCATGACAGTTGTACCAGTCTAAATGAGGACTACTTCTATGTAAATTAGGATACACATCTCACTGCAAGATAATTGACAGAACACGATTGGATTTAACAGCCTGCCATGTTTAGTGAGATTAATGGTGGAGTGGATTCTTTAATTTTTTATGGAAAAGGCAAAAACCCTATTTTTCAAACATAGCTGTCTTTGAAAGTTACATTTATTAGAGTTATCTCATTCTAGCTTGGTACCCAGAGTCTATGCTCACTTCATAACAGATAAAAGATAATCAAAGTTGGAAGGGACATTATAGGTCATCTAGTCCAACCTACCCCAATAGCTTTATCAATATTCCTTGGCCTTCTAAGGTGTTATGGCTCAGGTGACATTATCTATTGATTTTTAAAACTCTGGGAAGAGGAGGGGGGAATATTTTGTTTGTTTCACATGCCCTCGCACCACTCAGTTTCCTGTCCTCCAATTGGAAATCTATAACAAAATTACCAACTTATCTCCTGGAGTGTGTATTACCAAATAATGCAAAATTACAAACCAACATTTCCCAATACATTATTTTACAAAAACTCCAACTATATTTTGAAAGTTTTCAATTTGTATTTCAAATATTTGGAAATACAGGTAATCCTCAACTTACAACAGCTTGCTTAATGACCTTTCAAAGTTACAATGGCACTGAAAAAAGTTATTAATGACCATTTTTCACACTTATGACTGTTGCAGCATCCCCAGTTATGTGATTTACATTTGGATGCTTGGCAATGACTCACATTTATGAGGGTTTCAGTGTCCAGGGGTCATGTGATCAACTTTGGCAAGCAAAGTCAATGGAGAAACCAGATTTGCTTAATAACCGTGTTACTAATTTAACAACTGCAGTGATTCACTTAACAAATGTGGCAAGAAAAGTGTAAAATGAGGCAAAACTCAATAAATTTGTCACTTTGCAACATAAATGTTGGGCTCAATTGTGGTTGTCAGTTGAGGATTACCTGTATTACTTAGATTTATCATGCAACAGCACAATTGGGTCAGTAAACTATTTAAAATCCAAAGCAATGCACAGTCCTAACTAATAGTTCAACATGCATAATATCTAAGATTTGTGAGGACAATTCTGCTGAGTGATTGAACATTTTCCTATACCATGCTTTTCTGGCAATACTATGCTGCTCTTTTTCTTCTACATATACATTATGACACATGTGGAATGAAATTATATATTCCATGCTTTAAGTATTAAGTAACATCTCTCACAGATGTAAAATCTACGCAATTTTCATTTATTGCTCCTGTGCAACTTTTTCAAGGAGATTGGGATACTGAGAGAAGACGAAAGATGAAATGCAGACCAGGGGTGTCAAACTTGGGGGCTGGATCATGCCCGAGGGGGGCTTAGATCTGGCCCATGGGGCTACCCTGGAAACAGCAAAGAACCAGCCCATGGTGCCTCTGCAAGTGAAAACAGAGCTCGGGGGGGCCATGCATGGCCCTCCCAGACTCCGTTTTCAGCTGTGACAATCTCCTGCAGCCCTCTGTCAGCGAAAACAACTGAGGGGGCCACAGCGGGAGACCAGCACAGCTGAAAACGGAGCTCGGGAGCCCATTTTGGCTGGCAGAGCACTCAGGCCACACCAGGCACACACCCCTGACACAAGTGATGTCAAACTAGCCATGCCCACCCTGAGCATACCCTGGCCCCCCAAGGTCAAACACAACATTGATGCATCCCTCAATGAAATTGAGTTTGACACCCCTGGTATAGACATTTATATGAAATGTTACACTATGTTTTTGAGCAGTTAATGTAATAGGAGTGCACTTTAAATATAGCTAAGGCATTCTCATATCGAACAGGATTTAGAGATCCTGAGTATATGTAAATTGCATACTCAAAATATACTAAAATTTAATGCATGGAGCATGATTTATTTTATTTATGAATATTCCACAACGAAGTACATATAAATTTTATTTGCGTTTACTGTAGCATTTTTTCCACTTTATCATCTCTCTTAAACAGATTTATTCACTTAAGCGGAATACAATCTAATTGAATTGTCCGATAGATTAATCGCTTAAGAACAAAACATATATTGCTAAATTATCTCTAGGGATTAACAGGATACTATTTCCTAAAATCAATACAGTACTAAAAGGAATAAATGGAATACCATTTATGAAAGATTTATCCTTTGGATATGAAATGCCTACATTCTCTCAAATAAAGTATTAGTTACTTATTTCATTGTACCAAGCCCTTTAAAGATGTATTTTTTGAACAGGAAGGCGTGGATGGCAGAGCATTCTAGCCAGCCTGATTGGAACAAAAACGTGGGATAAAAAGTACAGATAAAAAGTGCTTCTACGGTGCCTAACATTTGTAATTGCCTCAGGATGTGCTTTATGCAGACACTTTAGAGTTCATTGGTTTGGGCGGGGGGGTGGTGGTTAATAGAAGCAGACATGTTTTCTCCTCAGAGGAATGTAAGGTTTTTTTTTCCCCCATAACTATCTTATTCCATCTTTGTTTCTGAATACCTCAGGATTTGTACAAGAGGTATATAAGCTTCAGGGCATGTGACCTGTATTAAGAAGACCATGCATTATATATTTTTAAATGTCAGCATTTCTTTGATTTTGTATATTTGAAGAAAACATTTTACTTTTTCATAATGGGGATCAAAAGCTTTTAATCTTTTCCATTGTTGCAGAGTTGCCTTGAAGTTGTTCTTTGGTTTTCTAGAAGCAAGATGGACTTTTCGGAGTTGTCTATATTTCTAAGCAAAGTCTCTAGCCGTCTCTTAATTTTCTTTTGATCTTCTATGGCGCATCCAATTACAACAGACTGAAATTTTTGATTAACAGGTCCCGATGGTGTCTCAGATGTACAAGCGCCATAAAGTGATATTAACCGGCTCTTTGAGTCTTCCAAATCATCCAAGAGTTTATTGACTATTTCATCAATCATCTGGGTAGCCCGCAACAGGGATTCCTGCTGCTGAGGATTTCGTATGGTTTCTACCGAAACCTCAACAGTGATGGTTCGGCCCATAAGGCGCTTGGCAGTCAGAGTAAGTTCTTCTCTTTCACCTATATTTTGAAATTGAAAATGCTGGTTTTAAAGTTTTACATAACACCAATTAACCGGCAAGGTCAGAAGAGTCAAAGTAAATTAAGAATTACTGCATCATATTTTTGTTACAATCCATGGAGGATGGAAGGCAATAATGATTGTAACGGGCTTGATAATACTTAACAGAGATTTTGACTTGATCAGTTTTAGCAGTTTACCACAGAAGAAACACTGGCTAGATTAACAAGAGCACATTAAAATAGGATGATTTGATTTGTTTCCACTTATTGTCGTCATTGAATCCAGTCAGTTATAATTAGGAAATTATCACTTAGTACAGGTAGCCCTCAACTTACAGCCATTCATTTGGTGACTGTTCAAAGTTACAATGGCAGTGAAAAAGTGACATAACCAGTTTGTACACTTACAACTGTAGCATCATCTACATGATCATGTGATCAAAATTCACTTGGCAACTGGCATGTATTTATGACAGTTTTACTGTCCTGGGGTCATATGATCACCATTTGTAACTTTCTCAGTTGGCTTCCAATAAGCAAATTCAATGGGGAAAGCCATATTCACTTAATCACCACACGATTCATTTAACTGCACTTATTTGCTTAACAGCTGAGGCAAAAAGGTCAAAAAATGAGGCAAAACTCATTTAACTGTCTTGCTTAGCATTGGAATTTTTGGGCTCCGTTATGTTTGTAAGTTGAGGACAGCCCATATAAGTCTATCTACTATGAAGACACTAAAAAAAATCCACTTATGTGTATTCATGAGACACTCCAAATATGTGTATATTATCTGTACACATTCACAAAGAAGCTTGGGGTATTACCTTCACTAATATTCCTCATATCCTGACTGTTCTGTATATTATGGATCATTTCCAGAAGAGTTTCTTTTTCTTGTTCCATTGAAGCCGCAGCATCACGCAAAGCTTCAACTCTGGGAAGAGAAAAAAAAAATTACCAATTTAAAAGAGACTTTACAAATACCCTTATACCCTGCATTCATCTATTACTTATTTATAAAATTAAATTAACATACTATATTCTTGCTACAACGAAGAGTTTCTATATAAAGTCAATATTTCCTATTTGCCAAAATGAGAAGGTGGATATTAAAATCCTGGCTTGGTCTTATGTGCAAGAACTGCAAAATATCTTTTTTCTTATCCCTTGCCCCAACTGTATTTGCACAACAGCAGGAAAGGAGGTGGAAAGGGAATTCTAGCATTATTAAATGAAGAAGAAAAAAGTATCAAGAAAAGTCTATTTCTCACATATTATTTCAGATAAATATAAAAAGTCTAGTTTTCATATATGCCCTTCTAGAATCAGTCCATCTCGATTTAACAAGGAAAAAAAAAGGAAACTAAGGAGCATTGATGGACAGCAGTCCAAACCTGTTCCATATCCCTTGAAGTGGTGGTATATCTCCTCAAGACGTTTTACCTGGCTCAGCAATATTGGATAACTGTTATCCAGAAAAATCAGCTGACCCAGAATGCAGACATTTAGATGATACTAGGTTTTCCAAAAGTTGTACTGGTTACTTTTCAGTGGAATTCAAAGTGCTGGATTTTACTTTTAAAGGTTCATATATCATGAATATGGACTCAGGGGGATGGTAGAGGACAGGAAGACCTGAAGGAACATTGTTCATGGGGTAGCAATGAGTTGGACACAACTTCACGACTAACAACAATATCATGAATATACTAAACCACCGTCCCCCAGTGGCATAAGAACAGGAAGGCTGGGCTGCATCTTGGTCCCTTCTTTTATGGAAGGCCACCCACAATTATGGGGATGAACCTTCTTGGTTGCTGTCTCCCCACTCTCTTTAGCATTTCTCTTGAAATTAGGCTGTCAATTTATTGTCTTGAATTTGGTGATAAGCTTGACCTTCCATTTACAGATTTGGGGCTTGTGACTATTAAAGTTCTGCTGCTTTGCTACAGTTCAGCTTGTAATTGTTTAGATAAGTGAGTGGATGGATAGATGGGTGAATAGATGGAGATATGGATATGGGTGGATTTCTTTTGATAAACAGCTTTGAGCTTTGTTGAGTTGAGTGGCATATAAACTCAAGTAAATAACAAATTCTGCTATTACAGTGAAGGAAGAGCCTCACTTTACATTGTTGGAGTTTCATATCTGAAACAACCTAGAAATAATTTCAGTTTATTTTTTTAAAGAAAGCATTTTCCAACGTTGTGTCCACCAGGCATGCTAAAATTAGGTATTCTAGGAATTGCAGTTACATGTTCAAGTAACTGAATGTATGAAAAATATTCTGAGCTTCTTAAATACCCAGCTCTGTGTACTGAATGTACTACACTAAATAGCAGGCAGAGACTCACAATATTGGATGGTCTTTCATACAAAAGTGTCTGCATGCAGAAAACTGCCATGTCAGAGACAAAACTAGTTTTCTTTGACATTCTGGAATATATCTGCATTCAGAATCCTAGAGCCTTGCCATCAGTTCATTATTTCACCTGAATAATGATTTCTGTCAATTTGCAGAAATGTTACAGCCAGATTATCCTAATCATAAAAATGCAAAGCTCAATTTGAATGCTAAAAGACATATGGATTGTGTGATTCAAGCCCTAGATGGGGAAGAACCAATAACTGAATTGGTATAATCAAGCAAGAATGGAATAGCACCATATGAATTCCTAAACTCCACTTTCTGGTCCACTGAGGTGAAGTTCTACACAGATCTAGCAAAGAGTAAATCTCAGTAAAATTAAAAGTAAATCCCACTAACCCTAAAAAGTAAATACAATCTTGCCAACAAAAAAGGTAGCCAAATCTCATATGCTTTCTGGAATGACAGCTGGGCCTCCCAAGTCCTTCCTCATTTGTAACTATATATAGGTCTCTTCTATCATAGCACCTGTTATACTTCACTCACAAAGCTGGACCACTTTCCTGAAAAAAAAAATCTTCAAAAAAATTATTCTTCATTCTTGAACACATGTTTTTTTAAGGTGATGTATTATCATTGTAGCTATGGTAGGACACATTAACACTCTTTCAATTGTAAATAATTTACTTGTGTGAGATTGCCATTCCAAAATAAACATCACAGAATAATTTCAATTCATCTGACATCCTTTAAAATATATTTTATGAGAGAGGCACAAATGATAGAGTGATGCATATATATAAGACATATAAAATAAGACATCCTAGATCTGAATGAATGAAATACTTTGTTCATTACATAGTTGAATGTGCTGACAACAAAATCACACAAAAATTATCAATGGAAATCAAATTTAGCAACCCATGGAGGTCTGGATTTGGAGTTACACTCAAAATTAAAGTGGAAAAAAACACTACAGGCTGATCCAACTTTGATGTAATTTCCTTAAAACAAGTCAAAATGAGGCTCAGTAGTGTGTGTGGCCTCCACGTGCCTGTATGACCTCCCTACAATGCCTGGGCATGCTCCTGATGAGGTGGGGGATGGTCTTCTGAGGGATCTCCTCCCACACCTGGACTAAAGAATCCCCCAACTCCTGGACAGTCTGTGGTGCAAACATGGCATTGGTGGATGGAGCAAGACATGATGTCCCAGATGTGCTCAATTGGATTCAGGTCTGGGGAATGGGCGGGCCAGTCCATAGCATAAATGCCTTCGTCTTGCAGGAACTGCTGACACCTCCAGCCACATGAGGTCTAGCATTGTCTTGCATTAGGAGGAACCCAGGGCCAACCGCACCAGCATATGGTCTCACAAAGGGTCTGAGGATCTCATCTCGGTACCTAATGGCAGTCAGGCTACCTCTGGCGAGCGCATAGAGGGCTGTGTGGCCCCCTAAAGGAATGCCACCCCACACCATTACTGACCCACTGCCAAACCAGTCATGCTGGAGGATGTTGCAGGCAGCAGAACATTCTCCATGGCATCTCCAGACCCTGTCACATCTGTCACATGTGCTCAGTGTGAACCTGCTTTCATCTGTGAAGAGCACAGGGCACCAGTGGAGAATTTGCCAATCTTGGTGTTCTCTAGCAAATGCCAAACGTCTTGCACGGTGTTGGGCTGTAAGCACAACCCCCACCTTTGGACGTCGGGCCCTCGTACTACCCTCATGGAGTCTGTTTCTGACCATTAGAACAGCCACATGCACATTTGTGGCCTTCTGGAGGTCATTTTGCAGGGCTCTGGCAGTGCTCCTCCTATCCCTCCTTGCACAAAGGCGGAGGTAGCGGTCCTGATGCTGGGTTGTTGCCCTCCTATGGCCTCCTTCATGTCTCCTGATGTACTGGCCTGTCTCCTGGTAGCACCTCCATGCTCTGGAAACTACGCTGACAGACACAGCAAACCTTCTTGCCACAGCTCGCATTGATGTGGCATCCTGGATGAGCTGCACCACCTGAGCCACTTGTGTGGGTTTCAGACTCCGTCTCATGCTACCACTAGAGTGAAAGCACCGCCAGCATTCAATAGTGACCAAACCATCAGCTAGAAAGCATAGGAACTGAGAAGTGGTCTGTGGTCACCACCTGCAGAACCGCTCCTTTATTGGGGATGTTTTGCTAACTGCCTATGCTTTCCACCTGTTGTCTATTCCATTTGCACAACAGCATGTGAAATTGATTGTCAGTCAGTGTTGCTACCTAGGTGGACAGTTTGATTTCACAGAAGTGTGATTGACTTGGAGTTACATTGTGTTGTTTAAGTGTCCCCTTTATTTTTTTGAGCAGTGTATATAAAATTCATAACACCGCAATACTGGGCAAGAAAAAAAATTCTTTAGAATTTGAGAATCTAATCATAAAAAATGTGATGAATTCATTTAGAAAATGTTTTATTTAATTCTGCAAATAATAGTCTTGAGGATAATCTTAGCTATGTATAGCATGGTAGCCTAAGAGTAAATCCTATAATTCTGGTTTGCATATTTTGAGGTGTGGGGACTTAACATGATATATGAATCAGACCATAATTGTGAATCCAGCTTTGTAGTCAGTGGATCTCACTTCTGAGTAGTCATGTACTGTTCAACTAAAATAAAAAATGAATAAATAACTTCTTTAAATATAATTTAATTAAAGCCACAAAGTACATGATTTACTACATAATCAGTGCAAAAAATATAGGAAAAATGTAAAATACAAAACATTCAACACTGGGACTTCTGGTTTGAAGTGCTTTGGCGACAGACAGAAATCCGCAATCGTGCGCGGTTTCTGTCTGGGCTTGCCGCTGGAGCAGCCCGAGCCGGCTGGTTTCGGGGCTAAGCCACCCCGTAGAGGTGGTGAAGAGGGGGGAGACCGCCAGCAGGGTTGAGGAAAGCCGCATCTCTCCTCCTCAGCTGGCCATTACTCCCTTTCCCAAAGGCGGTTGCAGCGGTGGTCAGAAATGGCCACCACAAAGAAGAACTCGACCGGAAAAGAATGTGCAGGAGGAAGATAAGAAGTGAAAGTTTTGGCTGACCGGGTTAAATTGTAAAAGCAACAACTAAGGTACCCTGGAATTTAAACTTACAAAAAATAACATCGCTCCCAAAGAAGAGTTGGAAGCAGCGAAGAAAAGTGAAAAGGGAAAGGTTTGGCTTTTTTTCCCTTCTCTCTCCTTCCCTATACTGACAACTAAGAGATTTAAATAAGAAATCAGAAAAATCCACTTTGATATCAATAGGCAATTAAGCTGAAAATAAAACAAAATGTCAAAGGGATAATAAAGATTTCTGGACATTAAAAATTTTCTTTTTCATAAGCAGGATAGGCAGGATCTGGAAGCGGGAGGAGATTGCCTGGAATTAAAAAGAATCTACAGTAAAACTTCAACAAGACTTCTAAAAGATACATTTTAACTGAAACTTTGCAACTAAATGGTAACCCCAGGAAGAGAAAGTGAAAAAAAAGAGCAAAAAAGAAACAGCTTGCGTGTATTTGGATTATTTGGTGATCTTTGGATTCTTGGTATTATATTTGAATGACTAAAATCAATCGGGTGGTTGTTTAAAAATTTATACAATGGCACCACTTCTGGATGAATTGAAAATGGAACTTAAAAAGTACAAAGAAGATGCACAAGAAGGGAAGGGTTCTTTTGGCTTCGTTTTTCAGTTCTTAGAAATGGAGATTTGGAACTATGAGAAACAACAAGACTGCAAAACAAGAAGACTGGGACAAAGAAGAAGCCATCTTTAATGAACAATTTTATGTGGGGAAGAAAAAGGAAAGGGGGGAAAGAGAATGGAGAATTTAAGACTTAAAAAAACAACCAAAGAAAAGAAAAATAATTCAAAAAATTATAATACTGGAAAGCAACAGAAAAGGGGAATACAGAAGAGAGAAATAGAGGTAGAAAGACAAGGGGGTAAAAGGGGGAGAGAGAAGAAGAGAGGGAAGAAGGAAAGGAAAATAAGTTACAAAAGACTGGAGCAAGATATAGAGAAACAGGACCTATTTAGAGATAATGGGTGAAAATCTAACTGAAAAAGGGATTCCGTAAAGGTACATAAGATTGTATTGTTATATTAATAATAGAAATAACTTTAGAAAATTGGAAACAACGTATGATTAAAATGAGGGATAAAATAGTTAGTGTAATTTAGTGAAATGTTTGTGAATAAAATAAGTAAATGAGAAAATAAATAAATGAGAAAATTGAATTAGGAATGAACGGGAACATTTTAATTAGTTAATGTTTTATAAAATATAAGTGAAGAGGGGGGGAATTAACTATGGAAAGCTTATAATTGTTCCCATAGAAGTATGATATTTAATTGAAAAGTAATGTTAAAGAAGTTAAGATTTTAATGAATATTATTAATGATAGAATTGAATTGGAATGGAATGTGTTGTTTTAATTACATACATTTATAATTTTTTCTTTTTTTAAGAATACAGTGTGTATTTTAAGAATGTACCAAGCAGAATCCGAATGGAAGTTATGTATTATATTGAATGTTACAACTTTAGGGAAAAGATATAAAGGCGTCATACTCCAATCAGTAACTACAGGAGAAATTTTGTTTAATGAGAAAAGATAATAGATAATTGAAACAGGATGGACAAAAAATATAAATACAATGATTTGAATTGAGATGAGATAATTAAAATAAAATTGAGAAAATTAAAAGAGGGGAGAAGCTACACAGAAAATGTAAAATAGTAATAAGATATGGAATAGAATATAAAAATGAGCATGAACCTGAATTTGTGTCTGTATGAAGAAATGTAACCTGGGATTACGCTACTTTCAAAAAAGATGCTTTGTTTGTATTTTTTTTTCTCTTTGTGAAAACTCAAATAAAATTTACAAAAAAAAAACAGTCAACACTAAATTAGCACCTTATATTCAAATTTCAGTTGTTAAAAATTCGTATGAAGCTTTTGATGAAATTATTTAAGCAATTTTTATTCATTTTTCCCCATGAAAAGTGCCTGAATTGCAGTAATAAATTAATTTTCCTGTGGAAATTAATTCATACCATCACAAACACACAAAATGGTGTACATTAAAAAATCTGAAATGCTTTTGTTATATTAAGAAATGTCTAACAATAGTCTTCTTATCTATGCCTCAACTATCATATGCAGGAAAGGTAGTGCTCTAAATTATAGTTATTTGATTCCTTATGTCTTTTGGCAACGAGTGAATTTTTCAGAATATTTATCCTGTTTTAAGACTAAGCAAATATCTCTAGCAAGTGTAAAGAAGTAAATAAATGCTAAACAATGGGAACGTAATCATTTAAGTAATGAGTCTTGTAATTATGAAAAAGAGTCTGAAATTAAAAATGGGGGGGCCATATCATTATTATAAATCATTATGTCATGTGGTTTGGTTTTAGATGTGTACAACTAGCCTTATTTAGTGAACCATTGTTTACAGCCCAATGCAAATATGCAAACTCAGTCAATCACTGTTGGTGTTCAGCCCGGATTGGTTTTATTTTTGATTGGATCTGGATCTCCCCTACCTGAGACCAGTTTACAGTAGAAAGTACTGTGCCCCAAACTTGTCTCCCAACATTATAGGAAACTGACATGCTGGTTTGCTCATCCATCTTTCTAAAGCGGAATGCACCAGAATGAGCATCAATGACTACATATTGCTGAAGCTGTTTATGTTCCGATCTAATTGAGAGACCCGAACATGTAGAAAATCATAAGAACGCACAGAAACATTTGAAAGTAGTAATAGAAATTCTTATCTAATGTTAACTCAGTCTGCAGGGGAGAGGGTGTAGGATTAAACCTGCCATCTCTAATCTCAACTCCCATATATTCTACCAGCTCTTAAACAGGATAATTTTGCTGTTTTTCTTCTTCTTTCAACTGAGCAGATCCAAAACTCTCCTCATTCATTCCGAATAATTCAGAATCGGGCATATAAACGATAGAAAAGCAATTCTCTTGAGGCAATTCGTCCCACCTCCCTACTTGAAAAGGCTGTTACAGCCTTCCAAAGGAGGAAGGATTTCTACATGATTAACACCCAAAGAGGCTGAGGAACCACCACCACCACCCCGACCCATTTCAAAAGCAAACGGAGGATTAATACTTAGGACCATTAACATTTATTTCCCCAGAACCCCCAAACCTCGCGTCATCCTGAAACTAGGCCCAAGAAGTACAACTAAAAGCAAGGGAAGGCACGTCGGGGCTTCTCCTCCTCCTCCTCCTCTTCCATTTATCAAACGGGAAAAATATTCTCCAAAATGGTCCAGAGCCCAGACGGAGATGCGGAGCATCGAAGCAATCCAATTAAGCAGAGGCGCATTTTTAAAGGTTTTGCCTCCCCCCCCCCCCGAGAGGAAGCAGTTTGCAAAATCGCCAGAGCAAAATCGCCCCGAGGAAGGAGGGAGGCGAGGAAGAAGGTGGGTAGGAAACAAACGCTGCGCTTTTCTCACAGAGGCGCTCCTCCGATGATCCGAGGGCGCTGCCCCTTTGGCCGGCCCGTCCAGCCTTACCTCCGCTCCAGCTGGTCCAGGCACTCAAGCAAGCGGCTGGAGCGGTCCGCCATGGAGGTGGAGCGGAAGAAGCGACCCCGGGACTGCTGACCCGCGGCCGCTTGCTGGGTTGCCTCGTCGCCGCCGCCTCCACTGTTTTTGGCGTTGCCGACCTTGGCCTGGGCCATGGCAAGCCGTGGAGCGTCGTCGCCTGGCGCGTCTGCCCGCTTGCACGGCGCTTGCCCGGTCAGCAGCTGCAGTGACGAGAGCGGGCGCCCTAAGCTGGACGCCGACTCGGAGTCGCCCCTCCCCTCGCGCACTTGCAAGAGCAGGTGGCGGTCAAAAAGGGTCCGGGGCACAAATGGCTGAGCGTTTGCCTCGTCCTCCGGCTTCTGTGAAACGGCGAGGGCTGTTCCCGCGCCACTTGCGAGTTCCCGCACTCTTCATGTCCCTGGGCGCATCGTTCCCGCCGGAGCATGAGCACCCTGGTCTATTTAACGCGACTCCGACTGGCCTGGAGCTGAGGGCTTAAACCGGAGGTGGGTGGTTTGCCGGGATCTTTATCGCGTGGCCGTTTTGGCATTTCCAGCCAACTCCAAAGAAGGCGCCGCGTTGGGATTCTTGCGGGTGCGCTTGTTCTCAACAGCTCATCACCCACCATTTCTCCTCCCCAGGACAGGAAAGGGGCATGGAGATGGCTCCCTGGTGTAACCCTCCTGCCCCCATGGCGCCCCACATAGAGCAGGAAAAAAAGGTTTTCCCGGCCCCCCTCCCCCCGGCATTGTGAGAAGTTTTATATCCAAAGAGTGTATATTTTATTCTTTATACTACTTCCACCTTCCCTTAAAATAGTTAATAGAATCCACAATGTTCTGAGAATCGATGTCTCCACTAGATAATTGACAGTCAAGGTGAAACTAAGTTAATCAACTAAAATAAATAATCTTCCTCAAATAAGTCTTCTCCCCCAGAATCAGCATGTACTCACTTCACCCCGACAAGCTCACCTTATAAAAATCTGCTGCTGTACCCCATTTCTTTGCAGCCTTTCCCTAAAGGCAAACTGTTTTACTTTTAGAAATAAATCTTTCTTCTTTCCTCACAGCCTGCTGGATCTCATTTTTATTTATTCTTGCCCAGTCCTGGCTCGAGTTGGAACTGCAAATTATTCTTCTAACAGCAGCCTTTCACCTCAAAATGGGAGGAAGCTGTTGGTTACTCCCTAGGGAGCGGGTTACCTCTGCATTTCTTGGGGGAGCTGAGTAGAAAGGGGGCTCCTCTGAAGTCCTCCCCACTTAAGACAAATGATATTGTGCATTTTTAGCAGTATAATCTTCTAGGCTGTGCAAAAAGTGGGACGTTGGCTGCATTATGACATGATTAATTTAAGTATTTAAACTTAAATACCGTTTTGTAACTTCATATGGGGCTAATATGTGGTTCCATGACTGATAAACAGAAAATGGGATTGAATCCTGGTTGAATTAAAGACACAGAGAATTTGCTGCATAGTTTAAATTCAGTTCACTCATAGCTTGGTCTCTTGATCATACAAGTTCAGTTGTGGCTTCAAAATAGGTTTACTTTTTCTTGTGCTTTTCTTTGCTGTTATGGTACACATACAATTTTATGTGTTCTTGGTGTAATATGTTTGGTCTGAGTAAAATCCTTTTACATGCATTCTTGGTATAATATATGAGCTTTTCCAATAAAACCATTTAAAGTTATTGTGTTCCTCTGTCCCCCGTAACACTAGTATGCTGACAGTTAGCAAAAAGCTGAGAAACTACTGCAGTGCAGGTAAGAAACAGAAGAAAGCCTTTGTGAGTTAACATTGGCAGAAACTCAAGACACTACACTAGACTTGTCATAACTGCATTAAAAAAAAGTCTACAGAACTTCTAAATTCACATCACTGCAGAAGCTGTAAGACAAAAGGGATTTACAGAAATTGAAGTTTTAAAATATGTGTAATTTTGTAATAGTAAAATCTAATACAAACTAAAACAAAAAAGAAAGTTAAAAATCAAAAAAAGACAAGAGGACTACAACTAGCTTTTTACTTAGGATCACAACTGAGCCTGGAATACATTGTTGTAGTTGTTAAGCGAGCCACCCACATGGATGTCTTGTTGAGCAACCACCAGCCAGTTTTCCCTATTGTGGTTGTAGCACAAAGGTAGGCAGTGAGTACAATATTTGAGAGAATTGTCTGAACTAAAGCTAGGCAATTGCCCAGAAGGAAGGCGACATGATCCTATCTCCCAACAATTTGGAATCTCTGGTTACAAGAACAGGACCTTATCTTCAGGATAATGAGTAACCTGAAACATTTCTGGGAAATGTTGATGATTACAGTTACTTTTTAGGCAGTTTTGATTATGGAAAAGATAATAGTGTTGTAGATGGTATGACCAAGGAAAATATTGGGCTTGTCAGGATAATGGTTTAAGGAGCTGAAAAAGAAATTGTCAGATTGAGTTATATCCCTTTCTTTGGGCTGATTGAATTGGGAATTTGCATTTCGGTAGGCAAAAAAAATCCTTTGGAAAACTAAATGTCTCAAATTCATGGATGGAAGACCTAATTGCACTTGCCACCTATGATACCTTGCCAGCTGTGTATAAATAAAAGTAACCCTTTTTAACCTACAATATATAAAATTATAACTATAAAGCTATAGAATTATAATTTGTAGACCTATAGAATTGTAATTTGTGACTATAGAATAGTAACTGTTTACTGTAATGGAATACTTTACATTTTTAAACCTATTTTTAAACAGCTATTATGTATTTTGTACTTTTTTCCTTTATTTTAAAAGCAATAAAAAGTAATACACAGAATTGTAATTATTTTGTCATGACATGCTGGGTTTTGCCATATATTTTTCACTTTTTGTTAAAGAAGTGTTTGTTCCTGCACTTTTAGGGACTTAAAGGTCTTTCTTTTCCTGACCTGGACCATCTTTGTTGGATAGTAGCAATATCCCTGTCTGTTTGAAATCCACCCATTTATAATTCCTCTATAATTAGTAACTAGCTCCTCTATAATTCACTTCATCCTAGCATGAGACCAGATACCCGATCAATGTTTGCTTAAAATAATATAAAAATACAGAGGTTTTCCCAAGAGATAATACTTAAGGATTTCATTTAATAATTTGCATCTTCAGTTCCTCCTAAGAATCAAGTGTTTCAGAGGTAGAAAATTAGCATCTGGGATAAAAAAATTTAAATGTAGCATTTGTATTAATCACATCAGCAAATGCCTGAGCTGTTGTAAGTGTGGTTTTATTTTCAGAGGTTAACAGCATATACTCGGGACAAAGTCATCTTAACAATTTATTCCTGGGACAGTTTTCACAAGATTTCTAAGATATTCTTCGCAATGATATTCCTGTGGCTAAAAACAAAACCACCTGGATATTGTTACAGCAAAAAGATGAATAAATAGAGTATGTAATATGTGTACAGTTGCTGATACAAACATAGCAAGCTGAAGAAAGAATTTGGAAAAAAATGACTTGAAAGAGAATTACTTGAAAAATATGAGCAACAAAAAGGGGTATAACACTTTACAGAAAGTGCTACATTACATAAGTATAGTAAACACAAGTTTGGAATCTTCTGGCTTTGTCCAGAAAACTGCCTGTGCGTTTGCATATGAGAAAGAAAACAGTATTTCTTATAACACTGAGTCAGATAACTTGATATACAAGATGGTAGCAGTTCTGCAGCTGAAACACTTGACTCTAATGAAATGTAGTACTGTCTGGAATGGGTCCCCAACCGTGGCAACTTTAAGACTTGTGGACTTCAACTCCCAGAGTTCCTCAGCCAGCACAGCTGGCTGAGGAACTCTGGGAGTTGAAGTCCACAAGTCTTAAAGTAGCCACGGTTGGAGACCCCTGGTCCAGAAATCACTCATTTGAGTGTATGAGACCATTTCTAAATGACAAACATTTTAAGCATAGAAGTTTTTATAAGAGATAGTACTAACTCTTGCATTATTTCCTTAAGTAGTCATTGTATGATAATGCATTACTATTATTGAGTTCATACCATTCTACTTCTCTGTAAACAGTGCATTTAGACAAACTAAACCAAATTGAATTTATGAACTTATAAAAATGAAAATGAAAGCTTTCAAATATTATTTGACTGATATGAGAATCTACAGAACAATAGCTGATATTTTAATTATGCTGAAGTATATAATTGTGCTCTGAGAAATGCAAACATGTTTAAAACATAAGGGCTTCATCTTCCTGAAGTTACATTGAAATGTTGTCAAAAACAAACAGGAAAATACTATTAAAAACAGGAAACAAAATATACAAACATTCAAAGTCTATTTGGCATTGTATTCATTCACATTAAACATACATAAGAATGAACAGACAGCTAACAGTAACTAATTCTTGGACCTCAAATTTAAGTGAATTTCAACAGATCCCTTGCAAATTTGCCTATGGACTGTAATCTTCAGGATAATGTCTTAACTTCACCTCAGAAAGTGATGAAGAAAGAAAAGGCACTCTAGACATTCTGGATTAATACCTGTATCTACTGCAATTCTTGCACTACAAAATAAGGTCAACAGAACAGTAGAAGTAAAACATTAAAGTCCAGAAAAGAACAGTTTAAAAAGCAAGCAACATAAATCATAATGATGAGTTTTCAGGTCAGATAGAAAAAAAAATAGTTAATAGCTCTTGTGACTCAGCAGAATTGCCATGTTCTTGTATTTTTAAAATAAGCTTGGCCAGATCACATTTTAAAACTTTACTGCTTAAGTCATGAGAAGGAATGATTGAAATCCCATTAGTTACATTTCACAACTGGTTCTCAACTCTGCTAATGCTTGATGAAAGAGCTCAGTTTTGTACAGTGCCACTGAAATGCTGAAATAATAGCCAGTACATTTTTAATGTTTTTATAAAATGGTGAACAAATTTCAATTTCTTTGAAGTCAGGTAGATGTTTTGGTATACCCATCTTTGGACATCTTCACTTTTCCTCAAGACTTCGCCTAATTGCCTCTTGAAATTCATCATCATCATATGTATCTGCATAAAAATATCAGAATGTGAAACTGTCCCTAAGCAACAATAGCACAATTTGGATCGTAATTTAGAAGAATCAATAAAGTGTACCTAATTAGTGCTCTATTCCACACAACTGAAAAACCATACATTTCCAGGTGAACATTACTCTTGCTATCCATAATAGGAAGAAATCTTGAGGATACATGCCTGCAGAGTTAATCAAGCCATCAACTTATTATCTAAATCCAGAATGATCTCCCAACTCAGCATCCCTGATTTTATATAACAGCACAGAATCCAGCAAAAGGATGGATCCTCCCAGACCAGAGGATTCTCAAGGAAAAGGGCAGCTCTCCTCTCATAGGGATCTCACTCTTTCTAGAGACTTTAAACTGGCTATTTCCTACATACTTAAATGCTCAAAGCTGCATGTGGTAGAAAGGTAAACTGCTCATTTCCACCCTCAAGCTACCCACCAAATAATCCCAGACTCCTGCTTATTCTGCTAGTTGGCTCCCCCCGCCCCCCAGATTTCAAGGGGAAATGGAAGTAGAAATTTCTGAATAGGCAAATTTATCTTATGCTTCCCTCCACTCCCCCCAAAAAGCTTAAAATCTGTCCCCCAAACAGCAATTTATGGCAGGAGGGCAAAATGGGAGCTTTCTAAGGATAAGAGAAAGAAGCAATTTGCCTTTTGGAGGCTTCATATTTCCCCCCTTAAAACAAAAAGATGTGCAAGGGACTTCTATTTTTGCTTTTACCCATCAATGTCCTTGGTGTCTAGTGCAGCCTAAGAACAGATTGGGAAAGGAAGCCACTGAAATTCTTGAGTTAGGGAACATCTTGCAAAAAAAGATAAGGCCGAGGCACTAGCCTTGCTCTGCTTGCTTCAAAAGTCCCCTGCATTTTGTCTTGGGATGCTCAAAATATCCTCCTCAGGAACAAACTAAACTTACGACAGGCCACATTTTAGTTCATGCTGTGAATTAAAGTATATTCATGCTGGTTCAGATACACAGATAGTCCTTGACCTATGACCATAATTGAGCCCAACATTTATGTTGCCAAGTGAGACATTTGTTAAGTGAGTTTCACATGATCTGGGGAACTAAAACCATCATAAATATGAACCAGTTGCCAAGCATCCAAATCTTTGTCATGTGACCATGAAAATGCCACAATGGAAATAAGTGTGAAAAATGGTCACAAGTCACTTTTTTCAGCGACACTGTGACTTTGAATGGTCACTAAATGCACTGTTGGAAGCAGAGGACTACCTGTATAATTTCTATGTAATAGTTACTGAAGCTTCTAAATAACATATCGAATATAAACCCTCCTTGTAGAATGTACATATCCAATTAATATATCTTCAGCTTTAAAACAACTGCTACACCAAAGCAAACTGAGGTCACACAACTAGATGTAACTATCATTATTGGCATGCAATTGATTATGATTCTACCATCAGAAGAGTTCATACTGATATGCAAATATCTCCAGCATTATTAATTAGTTCCTCCAAGGTCTCAAAAATAGAAGTCAACAATATTCTTCTTGCTAGAATGCACTTTTAATTTAAAAAAAATCTAATATATACTCCAACATACTATTTTCCTATATTCCTATGCTCCTATATTCCAATGTACTATTTATTTTTATTTTGTATTTGTTAATTAAGTATATAAGTTGTCTGTCTCACCATCGAGATTTTTGTCCTTAATAACATCTGATGTACTGTAGAAATTAAAACATACCATTTTGGCCATTTCTTTGTTGCAAAATCTGTTCCGTTGCCATTTGAATATCAATCTCTTCATTTTCTGTAATCAGACACAAATATTTTAATCCTACTACATTTCAATTCTAATAACTGGCTTTCTGTCAGATTTCTGTTGATTGGCAAGAATTGCCTGGCTTTATTATTTGCAATAGAAAAACAGACATGGAAACAAATTCAATTTCTTTGCAGACAGGTTGTGTGGTCTTTCTGAAAGAGCAAGTTTGCAATTATTAAATTCCCTGTGATGGCAGAACTTCCCTGTGATGGCAGCAAAAGGAGTAATTTTATCTAATACATTCAATAAAATATCTGTGCTTCCTAAGACTGTCCAGCATGACAACAATGAATCATCTTTTGATTATATTGCATTTGGAACACCACAAAGCAATCTATATAGCATGATATGTATACAGAGGACAGAAAAAGTAGAGTAAGTAAACAAAATTAAAAGCACAGTGCAAGAAAAAGAGAAGGAAATAGAACTATATTTAGTGTACATCGACACCTTTTACTCTACATGTGTATCTTTTCGTATTTGTAATCATCTTTCATTGTATATGTATAAACCACTTCATGTTTTCCTTTTGTCCTGTAGTCTTACTTTTCGAATACTGTAAGCTTGCAGTTGTCAACCATTGTTTTCTGAGTCTAATTTAAAACCTTTGTTTATTCTAAGCATCCAAAGCATTGATAACCTGGTGCAGGAGCCTTACAGCCCACAGATAACCCTTTTGTTCTCTCTGTAGTCATCCAATGTAAAATGTGTAAGGCACCAACTTCACTCCCTAAAACTCCTGGATGAGACCTTCAGGATAAGAGCTGAGCAACTCTGATTTATCTTTTAGTGCCCTAAATGATTTAGGCAGCTTTTCCTAAAATGGTGCCTTCCAGATGCATTGGACATCAATTCCTACCATAGCTACTTCCAACTGTAGTGGCTAGGAATTTTGGGAACTGAATGGTCTAGATTTGGAGGGCACCTGGTGGAAAAACTGGATGCCTTGGGGGGAGGTGAGGGTACTAATCTTCCTACATGTTACAATCTGTTTGCTCTTTCTAAAAACACCCCCTTATGCACACAGATTTTATTATATTGTTTCAATTTTACAATAATTTATTCGCTTCTAGTTATTTTGTTCTGAAAATAACTAGAATTTTCACTAGAATTTTCTCTAGTGAAAAGTGTGAGATAAATGTAATAGTAAGCATTTGTTGTGTTGTTACTGATGATGAAGTGATATAAAGGAGCAGAGTCCAAAAGCCTCTCCCAGACCCCACTCCTTGCTTTTCACCAGCAAGACAGAGCATAGGGAGAACGTCAGAAAAGGATTAGCTATAGGGAGTTATCTGCCCTTCTCTTGCAGAACTTCTGACAACAGTCACTCTTTCGAAGCCCAACCCGCTTCATGGGGTTTATGTTTATGGAGATTCTCAATCACCCAAGTCATGGTTGTTCCAAAGATGCTTTATCCAAAAGGCAACAAGACTTTCTTGGATTTTGTGGGGGATGGGAGAGAAGTTTCACTTCTTATCCAAGAACCAAAGAAACTTCTTGAGTGAGAAGTAAAACATTTTCAAAGAAAAAAACCAAGGAAGTCCAGTTGCCTTTTAGAAAAAGCATCTTTAGGACTTCACAGAGTTATTATGGGGATAAAAGGAGGAGGAAGGAGTATTAGGTATAGTCACCGCCTGGAGTTATTTGTTAAAATAATAGAGGGGGGGAAATTCTAATAAACAAGCAAAGAAACTGCCTGGGGACTGGGAAGCAGAAATCAGTGTCATCCTTTGGTCAAGGCCCAAGAAAAAATACTAGCAAGGGATAATCAGCCTAGTCCAGTAACAACCAATAGCAAATAATTTCATTCTGGCCTCAAGGAATCCCTCTTTCCTTCTGTCTTGCTCACAGTAAGGGAAGCACAGTAAGTTAATGAAACTCTATCAGGAATGACCATGCTATCCTTCAATAGGATGTCTGTAAAATGGCTTAGTCAGTATTATTTCACTGCATTTCTTTCTATTAATAGACAATGCACTGAATGAAAACAAACCTTTGACTGTATCCGAAATGCTGTTTAATATAGTACACATCATGTCAGCATCAATCTTATGAGGATCTAGAATGCGGGTTACCCGCTGAGTCATCTTAAGCTGATTTTCCAATTCTAGGAAGCTTTTGTCTCCAGAAAGAATGGTGAAAGGAATATGTTTTGGCAGATGTTCATCTAAGCGGCCCACCTGTGAAAAAATATTATGTGAAACTAAAAGCATACACAGCTTAAGATCTCTTAGCAAGATACATTGTATATTGTAATTAGGAAGTGACTTCCAAGCATAACAGAATGATACTTAGTCTTTAATTACTGATGGATGTCAACTCCATTGATTTACAGAGAGGAATCAACTAAGCTATGTCCAAGCCTTCATATCCCCAAAGGCAACCCCTCCCCATGAATGGTTGCATCCATAATTCTTTCCTTGCAATCTGTCTCTTGCTTTAAATTATGGTTCTCTACACAGTATTAGCCAGTTCATGAGAGAAAGAAATCAATCCTGCTTAAAATGAAAACCAAAACCTTAAGGTGAATCTCTTATGGTCTCAGGAGATATACACCGATATTTCTTAACTTTCCCACATGTTCTTTGTGGAAAAAAATAGTGGGTAAGCAAAAACTGATGCATAATGCTATGGATCATTACATACTACAAAAAAGAATAGCTAGTCAACTAGCTTGAAATACATATTCATGCTCTGAAATGTAATATTGCTAGTATGATAAATTCCTGAATTTTAAGGGTTTTTAAAGGTATTTATTTGATGTCAGCCAATATTAAAGTGACACTATGTCAATATAATTTTAAAGCAATCTTTGTGTAAGAATCCACATATAAAGTAAAAGCAATTACTTTTGTTATAAAGAGAAAGTTAGAAAGTAATTTGAATTCATTAATACTAATACTAATGATTTAATACTAAAGGATAGTAGAAATAATAAGCACTTTCATAATTGCAAAAAAGGAACTAAAAAGATGGAATGATTATACTAATTATACATATAGTGGTGTAAAACACTTTTCATACTATTTTAGAAATTTAATTTCTTTTTTTCTGTTCTTCATTAAATACCCAAAATTAGGAATTTAATAGTTCATCATCCACAAAATCTTTACCTTTTATTTGTCTTATTTGAGTATAATAATTTAAAATAAGTTTGAAGAGAAATTATCAGAAATTAAGCTATGATTGGCTTAAATTATGCAGTACTCCAATCACTGACAGATGCAAAGTACACCAGGTAAGAAAAAATGAAGTTTTTTCACCATAACAATATGTGAAAATTAAATTGTCTTAAATTAGGGTTTCCTTAACTACCTTGCAAGAATGTTAACGACCACTAGAGGGAAAATATTTTTGATATATTATGTGCCATCAAGTTGCTTTCAACTTTTAGTGACTACATGGATAGATAGGGGGAAAATAAGAGATACAGAAAATTCTAACTCTCCTCCTTATGGCCATTTTTAATTCTACAAACTCATTACGGAGCCTTAGTTATTTTATCAGTATTTGAAAACTTACATGTACACAGATTGCAAAATCAGCAGCCTCTCTCCTTCTACCACAGCGTGGATGAAGAAAAAAACACCCAATCTTGTTAAGATAATTAAAGACCTTGCAGTTCACAGGGGGTTTCCAATGAGTATATCCACCTAAGCAATAAAAGGAATGGAGTAATCGTTAGAAACTATCTAGACTGCCAGGTAAAAGCAACTTTAAAAAAGTTTCAGAGGTGACATCACTAAAAAACTAACTGATATTTTTCTAATTGTTAATCTATGCTGCATATATTTGGTATGCACTGGATTATATATTCCCAATGCTAACAGTCTTACTGGAAGATTATATACAGATTGTATCATTCTTGACCACAATCAGCTAGTGGCCAGTTAATTAATGGAGGCACAAATTTTGTAAGGAAACTAGACTGATTTAGACAGTTTGACCTAGTAATTAAGGATCCAGACTAGAAATGAGGGGTCCTTGGTGTTCTCTGAGCTTGGTTGTTTTCTTGCAGACGTTTCATTGCCCAAACTAAGTAATATCATGAGAGTTTGGCCTAACACTGATGATATTTAAGTTTGGGTAACGAAATGTCTGCTAAATAACCAAACTCAAAGAGCAACAAGGACTCCTTATTTCAACCCTGAGCTACAAATATTCTCTTTTATTGAGACTAGAAATTGGATGACAGTGAGTTCTGGTTCTGTCTTTGTCTTTGATTGACCTTGGGCCAGTCACTCACTTTCAGCCAATACAAAAACACTTTCAAAATCTTTCCAAGAAAACTGCAGGGAGTTGCCAACTGTCCACTTGGTAGGTGATTCTTACCAAGCTGCCCGTTTATATTGTGAGACTTCTACTGTTGTGACTGAACTGTTAACCCTTTTCCTTACCCTGAAAGCCCCAAACAAAAGTTCCTTGATTGAGGGTTGCAGGCAGTTGATCAAAAAAGCTTCCCCAATTATCTAAATCCATCATTACAATGTGAGTCATAGTGCATAAATAATCAAGGTCAGGAAGATTGCCTTCATCTGTATGTAAGAAAGAGGGAGAAAAGAATAGCCAAAATGTTTATGCATTTCTTCAATTGTAGATATATATGCTTCATATAGCTTTTAAAATGTAATTGTTCTCAATAATTCAATACAAATTTAAGTCATAAAAACACAGTATATTTTTGTAGGAAAAGTCCTTTAATACACAATACACTCCACATTATCAAATGATGCCCTTCTGACTTCAGATATTTACTTTCAAAATCAGAAAACATAGATAAGCCAAATCTTTATAAGGTATTGAATTGGTTCTCATTTACAACCGTGCCCAACTGGGAATAGTACCAGAACCAGAAGGATTTGCAAGGACACTTCTCAGAATTTAAAAGGCTAATTTGATTATGTTGACCATTGTCTTCTAGCAAGATAATGTTGCCTATGTTATAAGTAGATAAGATGGGCATAAGGGAAAACAACAGTTTTCTTCTATACTCCTCATAGATAGTAGCTAAGCTCTTTAATAGGCATTAGCTAAGCACAAAAATATCCTCACCATGAGGCCCCACAATATTCGGAAGCAAGGTGAAAATGCTTATGTTTACAAAGAGATAACTATACCAAAGGAGGTTCTACATGTGATGTGACTGTCAATTCTTAGACCCAGAATCTGCTGTCTTATTGCTGTTTTATTTCCTCCCTCAAAATAATCCACACTTCCAGTGCACAAGCCCTAGAATCTCTTAATTTTTATTTTCTAGTAAAGGCAAAAGATTTAAATATATTATTACAGGTGCTTGCTGAAGATTACATTTCTATTAATGAGTCAATAACTGAAATAAAGTTTCTGTGCATTGCTTACTATATAAACAAAGTTTGCATTATTTGCTAATTTGCCTTATCAGTTTTATCAAATGCTTTGCACTGGCCCTTCATCAGTCTCATTAGCTGTGCATAATTTGAATTCCACCTACCTTGTTCAATCAATTCAGGAAGCTTTCTAGCTTGTTCTTTCTTTGCATCCTCCAACTTCAACCTTTTTACATCTGAAGAATGTAAAGTTACATCCTTCTCTGAACAGGACCTCACAGCAGAGAAATGGAAGACATTATTTTCTGCTTGTGACCCAAAAGATATTTGAGGCTTTTGTAAAAAGCAGTGTTTATCATGGAAGTGCTGATGAGCAACAGCAATACTATTAAAATGTTTGTTACATGAACCACACCTGACTACATAGAAATCTTGAGCAGTTTCTTTGCTTGGGTGGCTTGTGATATGAGCTATCATGTCAGAATAGATTTGTGTTGTAGCAGAGCATGAAGTGCAACGAAACCAAATGTTTCCTTTTTCCAACATGGCTTCTTGACATTTCTTGTGGTCGAACTTCCTGTTTTTTTTGCAAACATATTTCTCACGACAACCACAGTTTAGAAGGCTACCTTCTTCTACTATTTCATCATTTTTGATTGAGGTTTCTGATGTCTCAGACACACACACGTAATCCATGCTATGTGTGCCCTTGAAGTGAAGTAAAAATTCCTCCTCACCATCAAAGAAGAGATCACCACAAAATCCACAGAAGTATTTAATCTGTATAACATTGTTATGTTTTCCCTGGCAGTGTCGCTGCAGTGTTTCCATTTTCCGAAAAGTCATTTTGCACAAGCCACAGCTGTATCGGTGATAATGATGACTCTCTAGTGATTTGCAATGTTCTTTCACGCTGTCCTCTGAGTTAAATATTTCCTCACATATCTTACATTGCCATTGGGAAGGACTCTCATCAACTTCCATCTGAGTTTGGTCTGGAGAAAGTTCGATAAGGCTTGAAGTTTGGCCTTCTTGTTTAATCCAAGTGTCGTACTGTGAATCAGAAGGTACTGTTACCTCATCTTCAGCAGTGTCTTTCTCAAAATAGAAGTTATGTCCATCATGAAGTCCTGTTACATGGATAAAGACATCTTCTTCTTTCTGAAGGGCTACTTCGCAAATTTGGCATGAGAAGATGAAGTTAGTCAAATGTGCTCCTCCATGGAAACGGCTCATGTGCAAGCGGATAATGCTCGAATTTTCTGCAAGTTTCCCACATACGGCACACTTGTAGCAGATTCTGTTTTCAGAAAAAATGTGTTTTTCTGCCAATTCTTCAGAAAGAAATGCCAGATCACACTGGCATACCCAGGTTTTGACAATAGGAGCTCTGTGAATGGCTTCACTGTTGCCTTGCAAATCCTTTTTCCATCTTGAAACAGTTTCATTCTTATTGCCATTCAATCCCAAATGTCTCTTCAGGGAAAATTTCAAAAGGCTTGCATTATTTTGCAGGTGAGGAACATTTTTATTCCGTTCATTGATGTGACAAAATAATAATATGGATTCCTCCATTGTGGTGATATGTTTAATCTTGGCAACATTTCTGCAACTATGATGAATAATTTGGTCATCATTGACAAACAATGTATCACAACCTTGACAGAAACCTTTGGCTTTCAGTATTTCTGCAATTTCGGAGATGCACTTCTTCGATACAGCTATGGGGCCAGCATTACGACAATGGATTCTAAAATGGAAAGGTACAGAAACGTATTTACAGCCATCTATCTAAAAATTATTCAAGATCATCTAAAAATAATCCCATATTCTTGACATTTCAAAATATTCAAATATATGACATTTGTTGAGCAAAGGCCAGCTTAGCAAATAAATCATTAGAAGTGATTGTCACAAGCAAATAAACTTTGCTCTTTGTATTTTTTTTTACCTTTTAAATGTAGGAATCCATGAATCCATAAAAGACCTATGGTGGAAATCCATGCATGAAATAAACAGCACTGAATTCTGTCTTCACTGATGGGAAGAAAATCTGGGAAAGGCAGTGAAGACAGAATGCAGCTCTTTTATTACATGTGTGGAGTTTTCTACTTTTCATCATTGAACAAATACCATCACCACTTTTAATATATAAGGATTAAGCCAATTACACAAAAAGCAAAACATAATTGGGTCTGACATCCAACAGGTATTTGAAGAGAGAAAAACTGGCCTGTGATTGCATTTTATAAATGGGAAGTTTTTCACAAACCTGAAGTGTGCCGTGAGCTCTATGTGGGACTGCAAAACCTGATGACAGGTTGTGCATTGCACTTGGAAGGGAACTTCTTTGCATAAGGAGATTAGAAGATTCTTTGCGTAGGCTGGCAAAGGCAACGGAAGTGGCCTCCCTGATTTATCTGCAATGAGTCAACAAGAAGGCAGGGTTACTTAGGAGGAATCCAATCACTCCTGCCCTAAAACAGAATTTATCCACCTTTTCTTATCATTGTCTTCCTATGAAATCCACTAAATCATCAGCAATCTGATGCACAACATGTAGACAAGATTTTATAACCAAATAATATCTACTTAATATTGTACCATATGCATAATTCACATTAAAAAAATCTCTACCAACCACCAGGTGCTGTCACTGCTGGAGATATCTACAGAACGCAAATATCCTTGCTTGCGAGGCTCTGCAGTTCTATGACAAAGTCTCTTTTCCTGAAAAAAGCTATAGTCAAATATATCTCTGCTTCAAGAGAAAGTTATCCTGACTGGACTGTCTCTACCTTATTTCACACCTTTATCTAAAACATTTAATACCTTCTTTTCAGGGAGTATTTTAATTAGTAATTTCAGCCCATTTTGAACCAAAATAAAAGGAACATAACAGACAAAAGAGCTCATTTCATTTACATTTCCAGATTAGAGCACTCCTTAAAACACATGGAAAATAATTTTTAAACATACTGCAGCTCTGTAACCAATATATAAGCCAACAATCTATGCATTACCCACTTACATCAGAGAGAAAAATGTGTCTATTAAACATACCACTCAATTTAAAAGCATGAGAAAAATGTTTTTTTCCAGACATATGCTGCAGACATTCATCTCTTATGTTAAAGAGGAGAAAACAGCAAGGACACGCAAAGCACTGAATAAGCTGAGGAGGGTAATTTCTCTCATGGCCATCATTTTCACCAGCCTAAATGGAGGGAAGAACAACACAAGACAAAGTTTTGAAGAAAAAGAAACTGATTTCAAAGACAGAACTTTTTCGCTAAAACTGATTTATTTGTATGCTGCCTTTATTATTTTTACAAATAACTCAAGGCAGCAAACATATCCAACACACCTTCCTGTACATATTTTCCACACAATCTTTTGAGATGAGTTAGGCGGAGAGAAATTGATTAGTCCAAGGTTTACATTAAAAAGTTTAACTAGATATTTGTGTTGTTTCCACTTAACACTTCAAAATTTAAAAGTCTATTGTGATAAGTCTGAAACTGAGCCTTATAAATAAAAAATATTTATTTTTATCAAAAATTCTCCTTTAAGGGTTGCCAACCTTAGGGGACATATAAAAATGTCATGTTTCATTCAGATCTGTAGAATCTAAAGAACACTGGGAATAGAGTTTAGGATAGGCCCCATCAATTTAAGAATTCAACTACAGTATTATCCATTTCCATCTTTTGCTCTTTCTTCTTTATAGAAAAGCAAAGAAGCCAATTATTGGTGGAAACCAAGTGCCCCCAGTCCCTCTCTCTCTGCAGAATAAAACCTTAATTAGCTTTCTTGACCTTTTTTTTCTGCTGAAAGCTAACAGGCAGGAAGAATTAACAGTGACTCCGATTAGTGAAACCCTTCATTTATAATATTCAGAATAAAGTCTCATTGAGAGAATAGTTAAGAATGGTGAATAAAAGTCAAGAAGTTTATTTCCTACCTAAATCTAGATGCCATTTTTTTTCCAGAAAATGGCACTTCTTTAAAACATAGGCGAAACCTACTTTCTGGATGAAGACAGAAAATTAATTCCCAGCTACAGGGGAGTTTAATTAGCAAAGGAATGGAATTTGAACTTTTATTATTTCCCTTCATAAAAATAAATTTTGGTCAGGGAAACTCCATATAGCTTTATGTAATTGATTCCTCTAAGGGGAAAAGAACTTGCTACTTATCAATATATATTGATTTTATCAATATATCCTTAAGTTCTTGCCTTAGACAAAAGGTGTGCACTATATTGCTGATTACTTGGAAATCTCTTGCGACAGATTATGCAGGCAAACATATTAGCTGGAGCTCCATGTAGAGTAATTGTGGGATCACATGGAGAATGATCAAACCTAAAAAAAAAGACACAATTAGATATACTGTATTAGGTAGAAATGTTTTCTTTTTTTCTTTTACAGAAAGCAATCATTACAACCTTCTAGTTTAGTTTAACATTAGCCAGTTAAATAAGGTACACATATTAATTTTAAACTATACTTGTAACAGTAAAAAATTCTGGCATCAATCTATATGAAGCTTAATGCTGGTCAATTGCATCTGGAAAAATATAATGTAAAATTATGCCTAATAGTTTGTTGAGGCAACCTAAATATTAAAATATGCAAGAGAATTGTTTTCTTTTAAAGTACATGTATCTAATTCGAAGTTTTTCATCAATATATGAAATGTGTAAAGATGGTTAGACAATTTATGATACAGTTCAGTGGTGGTATTCTACCGGTTCAGCCCACTTATAGCTCCGACAATCATCTGTGAGTGAACTGGTTCACTCTGACAAATCAGCTGCTGGGCCCTCCTACCCTCCCCTGCTCTATACTGACTTTTATTTCCTGCTTTTCAACCTCAGGTGTGTCACGTGGCACAGCCAATTGCCGCTTGTCAGCTGTTGAAGACACAGGGAGAGTGCAGGATTGCAGGTGGTTAGTAGGAAACCCTCTGTGTGTGCGCAAAGCACGTGTTTGGAACGTGTGTGCACAAAGCGCACCCATCAAGCCATGTCTACAGAACTGATGGTGAACAAATTAGAAACCCACCGATACAATTCCTTCCTCCAAAATGCATGGAAATTTAAATACAAGTGCAAAGGATACAAAAAGATGCATTTAGACAATATTAAAATGTATTTTATTAGGGGAAAATTGCTGGCAAAAATATTCACCAGAACAAAATGTTATACCAGAAGAAATCTATAAGAAACCATAAAAAATTTCATGCAAACTTTTCTCTCATTGCAAGCTACTATAGAAATTGGAAACTATAAAAGTTAAAAGTGGGGAAATTTTTTTAAAAAATCTGACCAAAACTAAAGTTGATAATTAATCCCTGCTAGTTGTAGGTTATTTGTATAATTAAAAATGCTACCTTTTAAGATGACCTAGCAGTAAATGCCCATTGTCAAACTTTCTATTGCAGTGCATAATGGGACATAAAATGGATTTGCTGTTAGATGGGATCTGATCTGAGTTTTGAGATAATGTTCTCCTTCCTGAGTTTACAGTGCCTGGCTTGAGACCTAAGGCACAAAACAGAAATATGCAGATGTTACACAATGGTACTTTAAACTAGCACAACAGATTATAAGAACAAGACAATGGGAGAAACTTTGATTACATTGTTATAATTTATCTCATGCCAATATGTTACAACTGTTGCAAAAGGTTGAAACTGAAATCTATTACTATTTCTTTTCAACATACTTTTTATTATTATATGCTCATTTTGTAAATGTTTCTCAACTAGGCTGGTTAATCTGTCAATACTGCAGCTATGATGTTAGAATCCAATATAGGGTTACATTCTTCCTAATCTGTATGTTAACATTGATTGACTCAGCTAAAGGCAATGTGGGAGAAAGAGAGGGCAACTGGTCTCCATATTTTATTATCAATAAGTCTCCAAATCTTGTAAAAACAAAAGTATCAATAAACCTATCCTATATTTAGTGTCAGAAAAGATCCCAGAATTATTTCATACACACTCGTCTAACCTTAATGAACCTGTATTAAAACTAAAAAGGGTAACATGACTTCATAAAAAAGTAAAAGGCAATTTTTATATTGCTAAATGGTTTGTTATATTTGCTAGCTGTATTTCCGAAACCACAATAGATTTTGAGTACAGCTCTTCACACGAAATATTTTTAGCACTTACCAAAATACTATACATGCAAATAATGTTCACAAGATAACTGTAGCATTTTCTTGAACTAAATGAAGTTGGAACATTTGTGTTTTCTAATTAATATAAGCTTCTCTTTTTTTGTTCTGCTTCCTCCACTCCACACTCCTGAAAGAATCTATGGTTAAGGAGAACCATTTCTTTGGAAGAAGAGGGATTCTGCCTTTCTCCAAATTACATTGTAGCCAATTACCTGGCATTTTTAGCCACTGATTCACACACAACCTTGCTGCTTCTGTGTCACTATGTCCCCGGATAAATTCCAGTTCTCGCAGCCCATGAGCATGTTGTGAATCCACTTTTTCCTAAAATTCCCGGTGGTTGGAAAAAATATGAAAACTGGACAGGTTAAATGAAAAGCAATTAAATAAATACAAAACAATTCTAAATATATCAGAAAAATAAACACAATATTCCTCAGGAAAATACTCAACATTGCTGCTAAGGGTAATGCCACCAGCAACCGTTCAGTTTAGCTTCAAGTTTCTAGCTAAGATAATTTCAAATGTATATATAACAGTCATTTTAATTTTGCTATGTTCTCTATACTCAACAGGAGATATTAATATGAAGTACTATTGTGTAAATGAATTAAAAGCAGAAACTCGGAGAAGTAGCATGTCACATTATTTTCATTAGTGGTAGGTATAGGATTACCATATCCCACAAGTCTCTTCCAGAATGGCCATGAAGAAGTTAAGAGGGTGGCAATTGGTGGACTAAAATTAGTGGAAAGCACAGAAACATACTAAAGAATTCCTGCTGATCAGGGAGATTTTGATTGGCTACTTACAGCACAAGAAACTGGGTTCAAGAATGATTTTATTTACTTTTAACAGCCCTGTAATCCTTTGCATCAGGGTGGAGTTGGGCTACTGAATAGAGCTGGAGTATTTGCTGGACAGATGCCCTTCCTGATGCCTACATGGAGCTCGCAGCAGACAATTATTCACTGCACCCATAGAGAGAAATATCTGCCACTACCTAGGATCAAACTCCCAGCCTACTGATTGTGAGTTGAGAGCTAGGCCACCGCGCTGCTCAGTTTCAAGAATGAATAAGGTAAAGAAATGTTTAAATTAAATTGTGCTCCTTTACACAGAAATCACCTTCAGATACTTGTGCTGTAACTAATCCTGGCAAAGAACCATACCTTGAAAGATTTGTTCTTCTCTTTCTTCAGCTGTTTCTCTACTTCTACATGGCGTGCCAAGCGATCTAGGGTCGAAGCAACTTTTGCTTTCTGATAATCAACAAGGTCTTTGTGTCTTATGTTTTTCTACAGAAAAAGAAACCTCTTTGAATTTGTTAGTAGAAACTGCCAGAAAATTCAACCATTGCTGTCTCAACATTCCAGGAAAATAAAAGCACAACACAGAAGAGCCCCCATTTTTTATTCAGTGAATCCATTTGAAATATGATATACGTAAGTGTTCTGTCTCGCCTTTCCTCTTTCCGAAAAGATGAAAGAGTACACACACACACAAACACAGGCAGGCAAGCTGGCTCCGACTTCACAGAGTTAATTCTTTGGAACTGATAATATTCTTTGCATTCCATCATGTCCTGCCTGCCAAGTCCGAACTGATAGCAAATAAAATTTTACTCACAAAAAATCACAAGGCAGTCCACAAAGAAAATCTAAAGTAAGGTTAAACTTTGTCCTGTACAAAGTTTCAGAACACCCACTTTTATCCCCTGTGGGGTGTGGCTCAATGACTCAGCTCACTCTCTGACCCTCCCACACCTCCTACGTTGCTGCTCACGTTTCTCCCTACGACGCTGCTTAGGATCGAGCCAACACTTCCTCTTTATTCCCTGTCAGGGGCTGCTCCGATATGCCTTCCTCCTGATTAATCTCAGGCTGTTCCTCTCGGTTGTCTGAAGGAACCTGAGGCATTTCCAGGGAGGAAGGTCCTGGGGAGGAAGGCATTCCCAGTTCCTCCTCCTCATCTTCCAGGTCCTCTTCCTCTGACAGCATAGGTTCAGGAATCGGGGCCACAACACATAAGTAGTTAAAGTTTAAGTCAAGGATTAAGCCTAAAAATCAGAAAACATTTATGGATAAATGTTCATCCATGTTTTCTATTTCTCTAAATTATGAGGAGGAAGAGGAAGATGAGATGTAGCGCACTCAGTTTTGTAACACCATTATTATACCAATTTCCAAAAAAGCAGTTTTAGCCTTTGTGTGAAATTGATTTCATGATCTAGTTTAGCTAGTGGGGCTCACAGGTCACATCCATAGCAGTGAATGACCCCAGGCAGACCTGAAAGGATTACAATTCAATCCCACAAAACAGATATTAGAAACTAAGCACAAGGAAAACCAGAGGCTGAGTGTGCTTATACTGTTACCTTGACTGAAGCAGGATTAATAGGGTACTTTTTTCCTCAGAATACCAAATAAAGACTTTTCTTCCCACCCTGTGGTTAAAAAAACTGGCAGCACATCCCTGACTCTACTGCTGTGAGTAAAAAGAAAAAAAATACTTGTCATCAAATAGCCCTAAGGGGATAGTTTCAGCCAGTAGACCATAGCAGCATTTTCTTCTTAAAAAATGGTGATGGTGGTGATGAAATCTGATCAACTGTATTTTTCTATGAAGGGAAATAATAATCTTGCCCTGTCTCCAACCGAAGAAGATTCTAGAATCTTTCTACATCTACAATGCAATATGTTTAACTGTTTTACATTTAAAGGCACAACTGACACTCATGTGAAAAAGCTTCTAAACCGATTTCTGGTTGTACAATGGAACTTCTTTCTACATCTACAATGCAATATGTTTAACTGTTTTACATTTAAAGGCACAACTGACACTCATGTGAAAAAGCTTCTAAACCGATTTCTGGTTGTACAATGGAACTTCTTCCTATATACTCCCCTCTAAATTGGAGGGAGGGGAGCCCATCGAATCCAGAGAAGACTTGGGAAAGTGTATTTAAACAATAAGAATGAGTTTGGTGTAGTGGTTAAGGCATCAGGCTAGAAACTGGGGGCCATGAGTTCTAGTTCTGTCTTAGGCATGAAGCCAGTTAGTGTCCTTGTGTCAATCAATTTTTCTCAGCCCTAAGAAGAAAGCAATGGCAAACCACTTCTGAAAAACCATACCAAGAAAACTGCAGGCACTCTTCAAGAATTGGATACAACTGAACAGACTAAATATATATTTTACCTCATAACACTTTTAAGTTCAAGAGAAAACAAATGATTTTAAGAATAATTTGGGCAGATCTAGCATGCAAAGCATAACTCTTCTGGATACCAATGATTCTATCTCCTTCTTACATTTTTCTCCAAATTAGATGAAGGAGAGGAGATGACAAGACAAAAAACTAAAAAAAAAGGATTATTATCTATAATCAGTTCAGACAGGGTATCGTAGTAATGCTGGAAAAAGAAATGCAATTATTAACATAAAACAAGTGACACCATGAGGAGAAACCAGAAAAGAGCAATTTATACTTAACAGAAAAATAATTTGAAATAATGTAGATCCGTATGGAACACAGCCACAAAAATAACCCATGGCTCCTTATGTGGGTTTACTTCTTAGTTTATCAAAATCTACAACTGCAATTTAAGCAGTATTCAAAGATCCCATGCTAAATAGAAATAACATGTGATTTGCTTTTAAAATATGACACTGCAGGTACCTCTAAAATAAAAGTTCCTCCTTCAAAACATATTTAAACACGAATTACTGTCCATATGCATCAGACATAGTCCATCGTATTGTTAGAAGTTTGCAGAAATACAGTGTAAAATATTTCCAGAGAAAACTAAAAATTATAGCAAAACTGAAAATTACAGTGAGGAAACACTCACTTCAGAAGAGATATCAAATTCCTCTTCATTACTAAGATCGATGCATTCCAGGACAGGTCTCGATACACTTTCCTAAAAAGACAAACATTTTTAACAGTGGGGGTTTTTTTCACTTATGAGTACTTTCATAATATGAGAGGCAAAAGTACAATGAATTAATTATTCATTCATTAGAGTATTTTTAAATTGGGTCAACTTTGTATCACTATAAAGAACTGTGGAATGGCCTTCTGTCAAATGCCTTCTAATGAAATTGCCAGAGATTTCAAATCCAAGAAAGCTTTTTTTTAACTGCAGTCATTCCAATCCAGTCAAAGTCATAAAGGCTCTTTTGACATTAATCATAAGGTATCAAATAAAATACTTATTAGTCAAAGACTAGTATATACCAAGATGACATGCTTTCTTTCTTGAGCACAATGCTCCCCACTCTTTTATCTCCTTGGAAGACTTTCCCAACCTAGTGTCCCCTTCAGTTCTGCTAGTAGGGAATTCTACTTATGTTCCAACATATTTAAACAGTTCCCAATAATTTAAGAATGGCTTCTACATAGCAATACATTTTCAGACAAACTTTAGACTTACCTGTCCCCTGAAAAACCCAAGCAGCATTGTGCTAAATGCAATGAATTTATAAATGTTCTTTCTAAATAGCAAGGTTGCCATGATTTTGCTACAAATGCCACCTGGAAATATGGATGAGCACTGAAAAGGTCCAATTTAATGATACCAATTAAACTGAATAGAACTGCTAAAATAAGATTTCGCCAAAGGGGATGGGTAGCATATAACATTACAAAGGCTGTTGAATTTAAGCAAGGGAATTTGAACCAATACCAAAAAGGGAGAAAAAACAAGTCACATCTGAATTGGCAAACACTTTCCAAGAAAGTAAAGAGAGTATCTGTGGATAGTTAATTAAAATGCCCATCCAGTATGAAAAGTGAATTCCATACTACAAAAAAACCCTCTCTCAATAAAATGGCTTTTTGCATTTATATAAACTGTTCTGACTCACTTTTCTTCTTTCCCAAAAGATGAAAGAATACAAACTCACACAAACACAGGCAGGCAATCTGGCTCGGACTTCACAGAGTTAATTCTTTGGAACTGATAATATCCTTGGCATTCCAACACCCTCTGCCTGCCAAGTCCGAACTGATAACAAATAAAAATCTACTCACAGAAAATTACAAGGTAGTCCACAAAAATCATTTACAAAGAAAATCTGAAGTAAGATTAAACTTTGTCCCGTACAAAGTTCCAGCCAACAACACACCCACTTTTATCCCCTGTGGGTGTGGCTCTATGACTCAGCTCACTCTGTGACCCTCCCATGCCTCCTACATTGCTGCTCACGTTTCTCCCTACGATGCTGCTTAGGATCAAGCCAACAATCTTCCTCTTTACTTCCTGTCAGGGGCTGCTCCAATATGCCTTCCTCCTGATTAATCTCAGGCTGTTCCTCTCGGTTGTCTGATGAAACCTGAGGCATTATCAGGGAGGAAGGCATTGCCAGAGAGGAAGGTCCTGGGAAGGAAGGCATTCCCAGTTCCTCCTCCTCATCTTCCAGGTCTTTTTCCTCTGACAGCATAGGCTCGGGAATCAGGGCCACAACAGTAAACCACATTAGGAATATTGTGTACTGCATCACAAGCTGATACTGTACTGTGGAGTTGGAACAGAAGCGGGAAAGGGGAAAGATAAAGAATTAGGAGAGTAGAACTGGCTTATTCAAAACTACACTCTGGAACTTTTTAGCTTTGAAAAATAGGGTAGAATAAGTGTACTAAAATCAGGTATGCCATTAAAAATGTAAAGGCAGGTAATTTTTCTTCTTCTTTCACAATATTAATGTTCAGGATCCTTGACTAAAACTAAATTTAAGGAGATTTAGATTCAATAAAAGAAAGCACTCTTTTATACAGTATTAAGAATCTGCTGCCATATGTAGTATAGCGATGGCAACCAAGATAGGTGGTTGAAAGGGACAAGAGAAATCCACAAGTGGAATGGCTATTCATGGCAGCTGACTTTGATGGCTACCTATAAAATCCAGAAACAAAGACAGTACACCTTAAGATTGCAAATATTAAAGAGCACTGATAGTAGAAGATTGGATAGATCTGGATTGACACTATGCAATACAAAATGCTGCATCATATTGATGTCTAGTTGATCCTCCAGCACTTTTATGTTTACATGCAAATTGTCTACGTACACTAACAAATTCAATATCATCTTCACTTTCTTCCTGTTGAGAGGAATTGTCAGTCTTCTTAGAAGACATAAGATACTCCATTATTGTATCTGAAACAAACAAACAAAAATCACTGAAGGTAATAATGCACAAATAAATCCATGGTTTTGTTTCTCACTGCAATTAATATTGTATTTCTTGGCAATTATTTAACTTTTTAAATCAATTACAAGGAATACATCGTACAAGACCTGAAATATCTACAGACAACCTATTCTGTCCTTTGATTCAATTGTTGAATATAAAGACAGATAACTCTACAAATTCTTTCATACAAAGTTTCTTTTATTGGATTATATTAGATATCCTCAAGGTAACTCAGTTATGTCAAGATGCATCTAATGTCCAATTCTTTGCATAGTTGAAATAGTGTAAAATGATAGTAATCTTTCCCCTATTTCATCCCATAGTAGTAGAACCAAAGGAGAGATGCTAGCAGGATGCTAGGGTCCGAGCAAGAGTGAAGAAACCTCCCACAACCCACCAAGGTCAATTCAGTGACCAATCAGGATTACAGATGTGGCCACATGACATGAACTACACTTCCCAGAATGCCTTAACTATATCTACCAAGAGGCATTCCCTTAAGGGGACAGCTCCCAATTACTAAGTATATCAATTCCCATTAACTGGCTGGACAGCACAGAACCAGCACCGAAATTGGAGGACATGCTAGCTAAATGCCAACCCTAAAGGAAGGTACCAAAGACCCTTTTTGCTTTACTTACTGATAATAGCATAACAGGTTTGTATCATTTCAGAATTCATCCTTTTAACAGATCAAGGAATTTGTTGGAAAAGTTCTAAACCTGATGGGTGGGTGGGGCTGAGCTGATCTATAAGTGATAAAAGTATAAACGTTCTTTCAAGTGCAGGATGACGTCAAAATAACCATACAGATGCAAAAGAGCCAAGCCAGTGAGTCAGGAGAAAGTGCGCTAAAGAAATGAAAAGTTAAAAGAAGTGTGCAAGGGAAGCGGTTACTGCACCATTTCCTTACCTATAAGGATGCACTAAGGTTAATGGAAAAAGTAAAATTCCGAATGGTTATGCAAGGCCTCCATTCATTTCACTGAAAGCACCTGTCAAGAATAAAATAAAGTAAAAACAAAAACAGAGCAATACGAAGAAGAGAAAGCGTGATGGGAAAACGGGTCTGGATAACGACGCGGATTCTCAAACCAGGGCGCCGACGAGGACGATTAAGAAACGGCGACACCGCCCAGAATCAACCCAGGTGAGGACGACGGTGTGATTGCTGAAGGTACCTCGTATCGCCTGCAGGCAAGAACCCCTCCCGCCTCGTATCGCTGCACCAAACCCTTTGGCCACTCGGCGGCAAGAGGAAAACGAAAATCAACGGTCAGCCCGACGAACCGTCATCAATCGCGCCAGCGCTCTCCTCGCCCTTCTGCAAGCACCCATTGGCGACGCAACTAGCACGTTACCGATCTCCCCTCGCGCGCGAGGCTTTCAGTTTCTTCCGCATCAAACGTCGAGGGTGACGCTTTTCGGCACCTCGGCCTGCTGGGAAGTGTAGTCTCCTTGGCCGCCCGAGGGCGCTCCCTGTCGCCCTCAAGGAATTACTGTAATGCAAGACTGTAATCCCCACCCCCACGCCACCACCCCCACTCCCCCCACCCATCCACTGGAGTCAAGCGCCGAAAAGTGGAAGGCGGACTGGCCGTAGATTACGTTTTTTCACATCGCATCGCTGGGTGTTATTGAGAACTCTTGTTCAGCAGATCTACAAAATGCCCGGCGATTTTGTTCCTTAGGTTTTTATAAATTAAAAGCTGGAGGAATTGAACTAATGCATGGGGTAGTGGATGAGATGAGAGAATGGAAGCTCTGTAGAAGGGGGCTGGGAGACTCTTAAAAGCGGTATTTTAGGATGGAGCTGGACCAAGTTATGAATATAAGTCACAGACCAAATGATGGTAGTTCATCCATATTTAGGAATAAGCCACAATCATCTGGGTTTCATACACACAAACACACACCTTAAGCTAAGATACTCTGCAGAAATGGAATCCTTTAGCTCCCAGGCATCTGATAAAAGGACCAAAGGATCAGATAAAGGACCTGAGGAAGACACAGACATCATAAGGATGAGAAGGGTGTGCGTGTGTGTTTAATGCAGTCTGTGTTCACTCCTGACAACTGGCTGGACTAGTCCCTGAAGTTTTCTTGGCAAAGTTTTCCAGAAATGTCTTGCCATGGCTTCCTTCCTAGGGCTGTGGGAGGGCTGAGGGAGAATGACAGTAATCAGAACCATCATTAATCTTAGCATAAGAAATAAGAATTCAAGAAATACTGCCAACCAATGAGAACATTTATTGTATTTTTAAATTTCTCTAATAATTGGGATTCTCTGATCAACATAAAGTACATTGTGAAATATTCAGTCAATAAATCATTCATGAAAATAGCATGATAAAGGAACAATAAAGTCAGCCAAAGTAATTAAGACAATGCAATACAGAATTATAGCAGACTAAGGTTTTGTTCAATATTTCTTAACAGGTGGTTACAGCATTTTAAAGGTTTGCCATTTGAATACCTCTGATATGCTGAAAAGGTGATGTATTTACCCCAAGAATAGAAAAGAGCAAACAACTCTCCAAAATCCACTCTTCTTGCAGAATATAAAGATAATTACCATGTTTTCAGAGTGTCCCTCCATAGTCTGTTTTAGTTATAGTACTATACTCTATATATATTTTTGCCCCTTTGAGACTAATAGCAGCCCTGATCCAAATATGAGTGGCAACTGTCTGTTTTCAGATAAAAACTTTAGTCACAGTCCAACATAATAGTTAATCCCAGTTGTTGCTATATCCATTCCAAATAACTGCATGTACCTTGCTCTTACATGGCACCTGCACTGCTGTAGGTGGTAGGCAGAAAAAGTAAATCCTCTATTCTTTTTCATCTCTCCACAATTACACCCATATAGATGGTGATCAAAAGAAGGAGATATGAAATGTTTACTTATACATTTTTTTCTGTGCAGTTTTCTGAGGCTGCAGAGACTATAGAAGAGTATTCTATGAAGACACATCAAGAAAGAATGCCTTGTGTGAGGCAGAGTTATCTTGGGTAGGCCACAGGAGCTCGCCAGGTGAGAGAAAACTCTGCCTGAAGATAGGGAATATGCAGCAGATCCTGGGGATCATACATGATTGGACTGTATTTTTTTAAAACTAAATAAAGATGTAAAGAATTGTTTCTCTTTTGTTGGGGGTGGGGGAGATAGCAGTCAAATTAGGCATTTTTAGAATTTCTGACAGGCCAAACCCAAAAGCTTAGCCATCATTGTTCTGGGAAATGTCTACTCTATAAAATTTGTATAATATGTTACCTGTTGTGGCCCCGATTCCCGAGCCTATGCTGTCAGAGGAAGAGGACCTGGAAGATGGAGAGGAGGAATTGGGAATGCCTTCTTCCCCAGAACCATCCTCCCTGATAATGCCTCAGGTTCCATCAGACAACCGAGAGGAACAGCCTGAGATTAATCAGGAGGAAGGCATATCGGAGCAGCCCCTGACAGGGAGTAAAGAGGAAGAGTGTTGGCTCGATCCTAAGCAGCGTCGTAGGGAGAAACGTGAGCAGCAACATAGGAGGTGTGGGAGGGTCAGAGAGTAAGCTGAGTTATTGAGCCACACCCCACAGGGGATAAAAGTGGGTGTGTTTTCTCCTGAAACTTTGTACAGGACAAAGTTTAACCTTACTTCAGATTTTCTTCGTGAATGATTGCTTTGTGGACTACCTTGTGATTTTTATGAAGTAAAAAAACCATTTATCTCTGTGATTAAAACTTTATTTTATAATTGCTGCCAGCTTGGACTTGGTAGGCAGGACGTTGTGGAACGCTAAGAATATTATCAGTTTCAAAGAATTAACTCTGTGAAGTCCGAGCCAGCTTGCCTCCTGTGTTTGGTGTGTGTGTGCTCCCTCATCAGTTAAGGGAAAGGGAAGGCAAGACAGAACAGTTATCTATGTTGAATATAAACCTATTTTCTGCTACATAAATATTTTGCTTGTTAGAAATGACAACATGAGGTTTAATTTTTTTATTTATTTATAAGTAATTTCTCAGTACACAAGTGTTTGCTGCTTGAAGTTTTAATTGCTTGTACGTCATCTGTTTTAGAAAGGTATATTAATGACTTCAATTATACATACATTAGTCCTCTTCAGAAATGACACTGACCCTGCTTCACCCATTGTTAAGGGCACACCAAGCCTCCAATATCTAAAAACAAGAATATTTGTTTTCATTTTTTCAGTTGCTTGCTTTTGCAGCACATGAGAACATTCTTCATGCAAAAGGTTTCCCACAGTATCTATCTATTTCTTTATCTTGTAGAAAGGTGTCAAAATGCCTTTCTTCTGAGGATTCAATTTTCTCGCTGGGAGAGCTGCAGTGCAAGGATACGGACAACTGCTTGAAAGCTGGATCTTTTTATTTTTCAGGAAGGCAGTGGACAGTGAGAAGTCTGCATTCCTGGGCTAGTTGGCTTCTTATGGTAAGTCCCTGTTTTTTATACCCTTTTCTCCCTTTGTGAGTTGATTTCGTGTGAATGTTTGTATTTGTGCTTAATGTTTCAAATCCTGTTTGAGTTTGTCTTTATTCCTGCCGGAGGGCAAACTCCGCGGGGTGAGGAAGGCAAACTCCACAGGATGGTTAGATTGTATTATTGGTTTTTCCTAATCTCTTTTAGCTTTATAATGGTTTTTTTCATATTTGTTTTGTGGCAATCTCCTGTGTGTCTCTTTTGTAATTTATATTTTTTTGTGTCTTTTGTCTGTTTGTTTTGCTTATTTGGTATGTCCTGTGTTTGTAAGGGTTTCCTTTTCTTATTTGTCTAGTTTTCCTAATTACTTAGGCTTTTGTCTATAGGGATTCTTTAATACCTTTTATTTGATTCCTTTTCCTATATAAGTTTGTTTTATGGCTGGCCTGATGTTCCCCTTGGGCTTTTCCTGTTTGAGTGACACTACTGTCTTCATGAAGTTCCCTTTCCACAATCTATCACCCATCCATCCATCTGATCAAATCTACAGTATATTTCTTCCACATTCCAGGTAGCTTGCAACAGTTAAACCGTATAATATAAATAAAATATTCCCAATAATAATTCAAACCCTTCTTTAACCCTGGCACAATTAATATAGATCATTAATAATAAATATATTTATAATAATGTTGAAAGAAATATCCTTCTTGGTTCAGTTCCAAGTGGGGAAAAAGACATTGGAAACATGGAGGCTATTTGGAAAGATGGTTTAATGGTGGACAGCAGGACCACATGTCTTGGAGCTCCAAAATGAAAAAAACAAAAGGATGATCACATGCTTCAAGGTGAGAAGAGAAGGTCAAGAAAGGCTGAGTTGCTGAGAGTGCCTGGGTTTTATAACCTTTGTTGGGATTTGAATTGGAGCTTGTATTCTGATTGTTTGTCAGATTCCCATGAGGCCATGCAGGGGCAATTCTGTAGGCTGTCCTGAGTTCCAGGTTTGGTTGAGCCTTGCTGGATGATGAAGGGCTTTTGAGCAATTGCTATAGTTTTACCTGGGAGATCTTTATTATGTAAAGTATTCTGGCTCAGGCCTTAATGGCCCACCCATTAACAAAGGTGGGGGTGAGTTTCTGCTTCTGAGGTGAGTTTCTGCTTTTGAGTTTCTACTCTTTTTAGGGGAAACATTCTGCCTTTTTAATATTTCCCAGGATATTTCATTTTCCAATGAAAAGGGTGGGTGCTAACTTCCTACAATAAGCAATATGATAACAAAATTGCAGATAGTAAAACATCAATATGCAAAAGACATTCAGAAGTGTTCAGTTTTGACTGCTTCCAGATGGTTCTCCCCAAGAGGATCAATACAAACACAGTTCTAAAGTACAGTATTGGCATCATAACAAAAAAAAATGTTGACTGGCTTAACCCTCTTCACTTCATGAAAATAGAAATCCATTAGCAATGTCACTTAGGAAGATCTCCTTGGAAGGGGTGGCACAGATTGCCATAAAAAGTCCTATGGGACTTCAGTATCAAGTACTACATATATATACCGTATATTTAAAGTCAAAACTAGTCCTTTGCAGCATATCCACAAAAATCAACAACCAGTGCAGAGCCTGCAAAATGGGAGTAGTAGGCACAGTGAACAAGAGGGCGGCAATGCTGCCCTCATGACTTCTCCCCGTCTGTGCATAGGTTTAGTATTTTTTTTTCCATCTGAAAACAGTGTTATTGCCATCATCAGTAGGTATTTTCTGCTGTTTTTAATCTATGCATTGTTTCCAGTTGATTTGCTTTCATTTTCTTTGCATATTCAAAAGGACTTCGGCAATGCAGATTTTGATCATGACTTCACAAACTTTCTTTCAGGCACTAAGAAGATGGAGGAGAAGAACAAGCTGAGCTGGAAGGAGA